ATCCAGATTTTGGTCATCCTGATATGAAATAATTAATAATAAAGGGGTGAGTTACATTAACTCAGTAAGAATATCAATACTTTACTACCGATACAGAAAATTAAAGGTTGGTAGAAATCATAAAACAACCAATAAAGCTTATTTTTCTTTTTAAGTAAATTCATTTAACGTGAAAATATTTATTCATTACCTACCTTTAAGTTCTCGAATACTATTTATGAAGGAGTAAATAGAATAGTAATGCACATTATCTATTTTAAGATACTAACAGTAATCAACTTACCCATTTACTTACTTACCGGTGTCGTTGGGGATCCATAAGGGTTCCCACTACACGTGAACTCAATATCCATTCTATTAATCAATTGATCGTCCCCATACCTCGTTCAGTAATGGGTGCCAAACGTACTACTACCTCAATATTCTGTCCGATATGAGGATGAACAAAACACTTCCCAACCTCTTCCGGTATGGGGCTTCTCAACACTGTTCGACTGAGGGTAACGTCCACAATAGGGTTTGCCCTATATACCGGGCCCGTACACTCTTTTTTATGACACCCGATAAGCCTTTTAGCTTGATAATGTTAACTAACACATACATGTCCATGTTATCGTTTAACCACCAGATACATACAACAATCTCGTTTCATAATTATAGAAAAATAGAACGATAATTTAATGGGTAATATAGTTTAATACTCAATTATTAAAGAAAATACATTCATTTTCAACCAATTAACTGATAGGGATAAAATAATTGAGTAAACTAATAAATAAAAAAGCAATTAAAACTAATGAATTAAAGTGTACGAAAAAGTGGTAAGCAAACAAAGCAGTATAGTAATAAATAAACAACACATATAAACTAGGACAATTATACACTGACTCCATCGGTGACATGTATTTTAATTAATCAAGGGTTGCCAATATTTTAAGAATAATTTTTTTTTTGACCTAAATATTTAAATAATTTCTGTATTATTTATTATATATTATTTTTGTGCTTTAACTATGTTCAACTTTAAAAATTAAAATAAACAATCAACTTTTAACTTTCATTAACTTTTTAAGTATTTTTTCCAATTAAGAGTTGTGTTTATAATTTTGTACAGGGGTTACTCATATATATATTAGTAAGTGAATTTATTATATTGGCTAAAAATTTTTAAACATAAAATAAAAGACAATAAATTAAAGTCCGTTATTTTTTAAAATAAAGATAATTATATTTTTTTTATTAAATAATAATAATAATAATAATTTTAAATTAATATATATTAATTATTATTATTATTATTTTTTAAATTTATCTAAATAAATATTATATTTATATACGAATCCCAACGCGTGGTTACTAAAATTAAGAAGATGCATAATCACACACATATATATATATATATATATTTTTTTTTTGTTATTTGAGATCCTAAACAATGTTTAAGACAAAAACATAATAATATTTTTATCTAAATATGTTCTTGAGCAATCATTTTGAGGTTTTAACCAGTGATCATAACTATTTCCATCTCAAAAGTCTTTATGTACCGAAGCCAAAGCTGTAGATTTGAACTCACGAGAGCTTAATTTTTTCATCCCACATAAATATTAATTTTTGAAAAGTGGAGACCTAATTGTATTTACACCGACATTCTTTTTATTTTTTGTGAGGGTATTTCGGTCAATTCACTCCATTCCACTAAAGTCTCCCATTTCCCCATGAGAAGAAGAAAAAACAGAGACACTGTACAGAGTGAGTGAAGAAGATAGTAATGGCAGCTGTCTCCAGCCCATTCTCTTCTCTTTATATCCCCTTCACTCTCTTTACTCCCTCCTTATCCCCTTTCCCACAAAAATGAACTTCTTCTTAACTTCATTTCTCCTCTTCACTTCTCTGCAGAATCTTATCTTCTCCGCCGCTTCACCCACCGGAAAAAATGTTCAGACGTTGAACACCAAGTCACAGGAATACATTAACCCTAAACTCCCACCCAGAACCTTGTCATCTTCCAAGAAATTCGAGGGTTCATCAGACCTCGTTCACCTCCGATATCACATGGGTCCTGTTCTATCTTCATCCCCAATTAATATCTATCTCATCTGGTATGGCCGCTGGCCTTCTTCCCACAAGCTCCTCATCAAGGATTTCCTCCTGTCTATCTCTCCTTCTCCTCCGGCTCCTTCACCATCCGTATCCGACTGGTGGGCTACTGTTTCCCTCTACACAGATCAGACAGGCGCCAATGTCTCCCGTAACATCCTAATCGCCGGCGAGTACAACGACAAGATCTATTCCCATGGAACCCAACTCACGCGGTTATCCATCCAGCAAGTTATAGCTACAGCCGTCAAGTCCGCTCCCTTCCCGGTTGACCACAAGAACGGTGTATACCTCATCCTTACATCACAAGACGTCGTCGTTCAGGACTTCTGTAGAGCTGTCTGCGGCTTCCATTACTTCACCTTCCCATCAATGGTAGGATACACTCTGCCTTACGCCTGGGTTGGGAACTCCGGCAAGCAGTGTCCGGAGGTCTGCGCTTATCCGTTCGCCGTGCCGGGTTATATGGGAGGAGGAGGGCCTGGAGCGTTGAATCCGCCGAACGGAGAGGTGGGTGTGGATGGAATGATTAGTGTGATCGGACATGAGTTGGCGGAGCTGGCGTCGAACCCGCTGGTGAATGCGTGGTACGCGGGGGAAGATCCGACGGCTCCGACGGAGATTGGGGATCTGTGCGAGGGACTGTACGGAACGGGAGGAGGAGGTGGATACATTGGGCAAGTGATGAGGGATAAAGGAGGAAGAAGCTTCAATTTGAATGGGAGAAATGGAAGGAGGTTTTTGGTGCAGTGGATATGGAGTTCTGTTTTGAAAGCTTGTGCTGGTCCAAATGCTTTGGATTAGCCAGTTTAATTCAATCTATTTGACTTTAAATTCAGAAGTATAGAAGGGTTTTTTTTTGTTTTTGTTGCTACTGTTAATTATTTTTTTATAAAATTTTATCTGTTTTATATTCTATATATATATATATATATAACATGAATCACGCCATGTTCTTCCCTCTGTAATCTTGGGTTCTCAGCTTTCAGAATTACTTGGTATATTAATTATTATTTTCCAGGAAATTTAAATTCGAGTTTTGAATTGGATTATGATTTTTAAAGGAGGAATAAAAAATTAAAATGGTTTCTTTTAATATTAAGTAAAAAAGTTTAAGTGTCAGTTTTTGATTATGGTCCTATATATATATATATATGTGTGTGTGTGTGTATTAATTATTATAAAAATATAAATGTGTGTGTGTGTGTATATATTGGTATTTTAAATGAAAGTAAAGTACTGGTATTTAAATAGAGAAGTACTTGTATTCACATGTACCTTTGGAGCTCTTAATTTGCTGAACAGCTTTGATTCTCTTTATATTTCTTGAATAACATTTTGAAGAAAATTTTTGGAACTTGTTATAATTAATTTGGGGGAAGATATTTTTTAAAAGAGAAATATAACTCATACCACCTACTCCAGCTAATTTGATTTGATAATAACAACACTCGAACAAAAAATTCCAAACACTAATATTTAAGACTTAAAAAAATGTATTTATTTTTATTCAGTTTAATCTCTGTCTTAATTTTATATTAACTTAAATCATGTACTTTTTTTTTTTTTTTTTTTTTTTAATTTAATTATATTTATACTTATGATATTTAATACTATTAATTTGCTCATCAAATGTCAGTAGAATGTTAAAAAAATTTAGAAACATGGATAGTTATACTCTTTTGTCTTTGTTCTATAGATTAGCTTTTTAGGATATAAATAAATATAACCAACATGTCATTTAATATTCAATTTATGGGATGAATTATTTTTAGAAATCAATGAATTGCTTCTATAATTCTTATCACTTAGAAATTGAGATCATAAACGATGCAGTTGATTATTGATTTTATTATTTTTTTAAATTTTTTGATGTTAAAATTCTAAAACAATTAAGATTCTATTTGGAAAACAAAATAAGAACATGTTCATTAGAGATGAAAATATAAAAGGGATTAAAAAAATAATAATAAAAAAAAATCAATTTTCAATAAGCTTAAAAGTATAAACAAGTTAGGAGAAATGAAAAGTGTACGATGAATACATGAATTTGAAATATTTTCATTTATGTTATTTGTAAAAAGAGAGTGATTCCCCCATCCATAAAATCATGGAGCCCCAAGTCGTATAAAGTGTTGAAATTAATTTTTTTTTTTTTGTTTTTTTTGTTTTAAAAAAGGTTTAATAACTTGGAAAGTTATTTCTTTGATGATTTGTCTTAGTAAATACCTTTTTTTTTTTTTTTAATTACTATTTGGGTTTTCTATAGAGTGTAAATTGTTTGTAGATCAAAGATAAGTAATAATATAATTGCGGGTAACACATATATAATTTTATTTCACAGTGAATGAATTATTTTAATATAGAAAAAGCCAAGAGGTTTTTCACCTAATTGTTTTGAAAAGTGTACGATGGAACAAAAAACATATTTCTACTCCTCAGAGTGTGGGGTCCAGTCAAAAGCTTAAATTGAACCATCTGTGACTTACAGCTAATATTGGGACCCACATATAAATCTTTACAAATAATAATATATATATATATATTTCAAAAAAAAAAAAAAAAAAAAAAAAAGTGCTGGGGTTGAGGGATGGAGTGTTGTTTGTTTGGAAATGATATATATATAATTTTAATATAGGAAAGAATCTTTTGGTTTGATGCTTCTGACACATTTTGTTGGTAACCATTTTAATCAGACAAGGGAAGATTCGAATGAATGGACAATTTTGCCCCTCTATTTCTTCAAATTCTACCAAACACACAAGTTGAATGTAATAATTATTAGTTTTTAGTTATGTGTTATTAGAATGTTTAAAATTATCTTTAGATGAACAACCAGCTTTCTGAAAATGTTACTAGAAAACCATAACAAGGTGTCTGACTTGTAAATTTATGAGCTCTAAGCTGACTCCATTTTCAGCCATGAAGCTTCCACAGAATGTCGTCTTTATCTTCGATGGAGAACGAAAATTGATGTATGGGAGCCCCCCAACAGAGTCTTAATCGGTGAGCTGGAGAACCACACTCGCATGAATGGCTAGAAAAAGACGCTTTCCTTCCCTCCAACTCTATAAAACTTAAATACACACACACACACACAGTTCCCACGTTACATAACTATCCAATTCTTAGTTTCATGACTTTGTAATTTTGATTTTTCCTTTGCTGGCCATCAAGTCTTTGATATCAACGATTGCCAGCTCAACCGAGTGAGGTTAAGCTTCTTAAAATTCAAATATAATTTAAGTTGACTTTTTTTTTTTTCCCCAGAGT